AGTTTCTCTGTAGGATGTATTTTGGGCGACTTTTTTGGTTTCATTGTTTCAAGGCCTCAAGCCTGATGGTGCTGTTTTCCAAATTCGAACGGCAAGTCATGCCTAAGTTTGTGTAACAGGAAAAGAGAATGATTGATCACACGGAGGTTGTCAAACAAATCAACCGATATTCGTTTCATAGAATGAAGTCATTTTTATCCGCAATTAGTGATTTCCATAAAATATTTGAAAAGTTTGCTATCCGGGGGTTTTCCACTTTGGAACAGGGAGGAGTAAGTTTGTGAGCAAAAGCGTCAGAATTCGCTGGAAGAGCGGTTACCGAATTCGGGCTATGGGATTAGTGCATTCCCACAAAGGCCCTCTGAGTCAGCGTAATGTCAACTGACGTAGCCTTTTACACGCGGTCTCGTTTGTCTACAAGTTAGAATCTAGCAAAGATAAACCTGTACACACGGATTGGGATGGACGGAATATTGCTGAAGCTCTCTCCTCATTCTTCCTAAACATACCCAGAATCGTTCGCTTACGAAATCAACAACACTTTTTCTCTTCAGGTTGAAAGTGCATCATTAGTCTAGTTTTTACGCATTTACCCATTACCTAAATTTTATGGATATTTTAGCTGCTTTACAAAAGAAAAACAAAAATGCAGATTCTGCAAAAAGATATCGGTGAAAAATAAAGGAGACATCTTGGTCATGGTGAATCCCTGAGCACTAAACAAGTTATGGTGTACGCTGCATCTACTCCGATCAGCGCTTGGAATTATTGCTATTCAACAAATAGCACCAAGGGCGGGGGAATTCAATTACAGACGTTTGTTAGAAATACGGTTTTGTGTGCCTGCAGTTGTGGAGAACAAGCTGGACAGCTGTTTCCATCTGGTTGCGTCTCATTAGCAGCGCGAATCCACCGACCCAACTGGGGATCGAATCCGGGACCCCAAAGACAGGGCGCAAGGATGCTATCCATTCGGCTACCAAGCAGATAAAAATATCGTTTTTCGTTTTCCATCTACAGAACATAACACAACCCATCTTTGCTAGCGTGTGAGGTCCGCTGCCCGCCACAAGCTCGCAAAGACCGGTTATGCTTTACCATCTCAATGGAAAATGAAAAACGGTCTGATCATCCGCCCAGTGGCCGAGTGGGTAGCATGCTTACGTCCTGCTTGTGAGGTTCCGGATTCGATCCCCAGTTGAGTCGGTGGATTCACGCTGCTGATGAGACGGAACCAGATCGAAACGGTTGTCCTGTGCTTCCTGGCCTTTTAGTTCACGCATCAACTTCGAAATCCCATTATGTCCAGTATTTGCGAAATTCAAAATTTAAGGATGTACTTTACTTTTCTTTGAGAAAACCAACTTGAAAATTTGTATGCAACAAAAATCTTTCATTGGGAATGTGCTATATTAGTACTGTATAATCTAAATATGTAGCTAATTCCTTCAGAATCCAAATTACCAAGCAATCATGAGAATCTACAGTTACTCTTCCAGTTAACGAGTATATTATTGAAAACCATTTTAACCTTTAACTTTTCAATCACTCCAGGTCGTGCAACAGGTCTTCAAAATGTCTCTTTTGTTTCATGCATTATTTGGCGTTTTGTTCATATTTTGGAACACAACTAATTACAAAGTTCACGGGAGGTGAAATTAAGCTCACCTGTGCTTGAGACTCAGCCTGTACTATCCATTTTCCAACGTCGTAGGCACATTTTGAGATCAGATTGAGAGAACTTAGTGAAATAATGTCACCTTTCACAGCACAGTTTCCGATGGTTTGAATAAAGTAAATAGTAGCTCATTGGTGTACCAGAATGGAGTAAATAAACACTCCGAAATATTGAAAACCATTTAAGAACGAAATGATGCATATCTTCCAATTCGTATACATTGGTGAACAAAGCTTTTGGGAATACTGGACATCTTTTAATCGGTATTAAACTAGCCGGACAATTTATGTTTTGGTATTTCCCGAGAGATTGTTTTCGGTCACACGTGACAAATTACCATAGTTTCAAGGATCTTTCGTTAACCTGAACCGAACCGCTTCCAGTCACACTTCGCGGAATGCCGAGCGATGGGCAACCATCCTTTTTAATTTGATGGTGAAAGGTGTACTGACAAGTGATACTCGTGCACGTGGGAAAATCCTCAGCGTTCTAATGCACCTACATTCATCCGCATGCGCTATATTCCGTGTTCTGCAGGCGTATTTAACCCGCAAAATCCTATGTCTGCAAAGCAGACAAACGAGTGTGTATTTTAAAGGGGTGAGGCTTACAGGCGTTGGCAATCTCAAACGGCATAGACTAAAAGAACTAAACAACCAGCTGGATTCGGTGCATGAACACTTTTATCGAGCTGTAGAACAGGAAATAAGTTCATTGGTTGCACACCGTTCGTCCCTCTCACTCTATGTATGTGTCATTCTAATCGTTCTGCTAAAGGCCATCGTGGTGCCAACAGACGAGGATTATAAATGCGTCTCAAATGGGCTAAACGCAAAACAAAACATGTGATCTTTGCAAAACGCGCACCAAATAGCTTCCGTGATACGCTTGCCTAGCACCATCAGTCACGTTCAATCGTCAAAGATCGATCTAATCACACAAAATCCTACCTAACTATAAAGAAGTCCTACTCTACTTAAATAGACATTCGGAAAGGTCAACTGTATTAGAGAGATTAAATCAGGCTAAATCTTTTTTTTTCTATTTTCAAGGAAAGGACGAAGAACCCACTGAGTCGTCAAGGGGAAATCAATATCACACCACTCGAAGTAACTTATTCAATTACCGGCTAGATGCTTCAAGATAAATCAATAAAAATTCGGTCCATAAATTGCATTCCCAAAGCTTGATTAAAATTGTCACAAAACTGTAAACCTAAGAATAAATGCATAAAGGGTGGCTCAGTTGGGCAAGATACGTCACTTGTGACTTATTTTCACTTTATTTATGTAAGCTGATTACTGATAACTCAATAAAATGAAGTTCAAAACCTCACCAAACTTCTGGTATAATTTCTTTTGGTTCATGAGATAGATCAAATAGCGAACTTTTACCCGCAGACATTTTAGTGAACGCCTGTCAAAGCATAGTCAAAACACCAAAAAGGAAAATATTGGTTTACATGTCTTTACAGAGTTTGTCATAAAATACCGAATATTTTGTAGAAGAAGGCACTGTTTCACGAAAAGTTTATTTTCTTTTGAAAACTCTTCTGTACGCACGGAGTAAGACATTGTTTGAGATTTTTCGTAGATTCCCTCTTCCAAACATAGAGGATTTCCGGTATACATAAACTATAAAACGACCTATTGACGGCCCAAAACACAATGAGTAAAAATGAACCTTTTTATTCTGAAAGATAATTAAATGGTTTTACTCACATTTGGTATTGAGCTGGGTGTTTAGTTTCAGGATACAGTACATAATCGGGTACGAAAGAAACACATTTCATACTTGGTGAACTCAGTGCATCAATTTCCGGTAAATGTGATATGGCTCCCGCGCGGACAAACGGAACAGCGATTAGCATGCAGTTTCCTGCTGACATATTGTATGAATTATGTTAGGTATTATGAGGCCTCGTCATCAATAATTGAAATTTTATGAGATAAAATAAATAATTGGCAGTGCAATATCGTGTAAGGTCTAAGTTTATCCATAAATATACACGTGCATTTTACAAATGGTTACCCTTGTCAACTTTCTCATTTCATCACTGCCACGGATCTTTCCTTTTTGCTGAGCACCACTTGACAACTGGCTCGTTACACCCAGCCGAAGAAATTTTAAAACTGTTCAGTTAACAAAAAGCGATATTCGTAGGAGTTAACAGCGAATGCTCTCCCCGCCCGGAACAATATGCATTTGTCATATAACTGTGTTTTCCTGTCCTCCCAATGACCGACTTAATTCTTCAAGGAATGTCCAACATTCGCCACCGCAGTTTGGTATGATGCTATCTTCTAGCTAACTCGAAACTACAACCGAATCGAATCATGTTTCAAACTGATCAGTTATCAGTGTGTGGGGAACAGTGCCTTATTTATTTGCTGATCGTCGGTTGTATAATCGCGGGTTTAATTTTTCTTTACCATTCAAGAAAGGAATTGTGTGAATACGGTCGTTATGCGCCCAGACAGTACAGAACGTAGGCGGTCGTAGTTTCTTTTGAACATGATACATATGTTTTTTTTCCGGGAATAACATTTCAACACTAAGTTCGTCACATATCTTCATGGGCACTATCTTCTCTGCTACGCAACGATAAGGGTTTTCGAAAAGG